TGCTTTGGTAATTTCATTTAGGGCTTCCCCAGTGGCTCAAGCGGTGAAGAACCCGCCTGCAATGCAGGAGACACAGGAGACCGGGCTTGATCACCAGGTAGAAGAAAAGATGAATATGTGAATCTTAAGTTAAAAAAAAGGAAAAGAAACCCCCGCGTTTGCCTTAATTACCACACTAACATATAAAAGTGGAAGAACAATGAATTTTCTGTTTTAAACTCAGTTAATTGCTTCCTTTCACGAGCCTGAATTATCTTTGGAGCGTTATGGTAATAATTGGTTGTTTTGCTTTCTTTTCCTCCGGTTAAGTTGCATGAAGGCTTAGTTTCACAAGGCTCTTCGGTGAAAACATTTCTATTTCCATGATAACAAATGATGACACGGTGATTTAAAACAGCGGCTTTTTACCGTTTCACAGCTCTGTAGTCAGGGTTCCTGGCCTGGGCTCAGATCCTCAGGGGGCTGGAGTCGGGGCCTTCGCAGGGCCGGGCTCCCTGTAGCCCACGGTCTTCTCCCAGGCCTGTCTGCTGAATCCCGAATTCCGCGGGATGGGGCCGCGGCGCCCCCCTCAGCACGCGAGACTGCGTCTTCAAGGCCAACAGTGAAGCAACCCGCTGCTGCTTTGAACCTCACCGTCGGACTGTCTGTAAAGATCTCCCACCATTACATCAGGCCACCCGGAATAACTTCTCTTTAAAGTGCAACTGATTAGTGACTTCCGGTGCTGGTGATTCAAGCATGAACAAAAGAAAGTGAAAGTGAAGCCGCCCAGTTGTGTTCGACTCTATGTGACCCGGTGGGCTGTAGCCCACCAGGCTCCTCTGTCCATGGGAATTTTCAGCCAAGAGTGCCTGGAGTGGGTTGCCATTGCCTACTCCAGGGAATCTTCCCGATCAAGGGATGGAACCCGCGTCCCTCTCATTGCAGGCAGACGCCTTAACCTCTGAGCCACCAGGGGAGCTCAGGATAAACAAAGTAGGGCTTAGTTCTGACAGAGGCCCCGCAGCTGCCTGCCGTGGTAACTGCTGTAAAGGGGACGGACAGGGAGGTGAGACTCCAGGGAAGGGCACCCGGGCTGAGCGCTGCAGGCGAGCAGGGCTGTCACAGGGTGAGCTGAGGGCGGGCCGGGAGGCAGCCGCCGCGCCTTCATACTGTGCCTCAACAGACCCACTGGAAAAGACCCTGACTCTGGGCAAGATGGAAGGCGGGAGGAGAAAGGGACGACCAGAGGATGAGATGGTTGGATGGCATCACCGATGCGGTCAACATGAGTTTGAGTAAACTCCGGGAGTTGGTGATGGACAGGGAGGCCTGGCGAGCTGCAGTCCATGGGGTCGAGAAGAGTCGGACACGACTGAGCGACTGAACTGAACTGAAACAGACTCTTCAAGAGTGCAGATCACTTCCTGAAGGAAATCCTCTGAAAGCTGGCTGTTTCTCCATCTTTGGCTTTTAGTAGTGCAGCAAAAACACAATTGAGTAACGGATTAAGTTTATTGAACACTTGGAGTGTTGCATGATTTCCAGATGCATAAAACCATGTCTTCTGCCCCTCAGAGTGTCCTTGTAGGTCATCCATTGCACCTACCACAACCAGTGAGACCAACGGTACATTATCTGAGATCTACTTACATCACTGGTGCCACAGGGTGTTTTGGCCATTTATAACAGCCATTGTTACCCAACTGCGAGTGTGAGAAATTTGTGGGTGTGTCTTTACAGGCAAATGTGAATTTCGAAGTGAGTACATATATTCTATATCACCAAAGAAGAAAGAAAAGGCTTTTCTTTTGAACAGTTTTCAACATTTTAAATTTAGATACTGGTTTTTAGTGTGAATTTGGGTATAACACATATATACCCCAAGTTTGAATTTTATTCAAATATGTAAGTGTTTTATATAATCTATTAATCACTATTACACTGAAATAAGGCATATGAATGTACACGTTGCTATTCTGAGCCTTTCATTTCTTCCCTATCCATCATCCTCTACCTAATTCATAAGTAAATCACTAAATCCTGAAGACTCCGTTTCTCAATCCCAACCATACCTCATTACCGCTACCACAATGGCCTTAATTCATGCTTTTAAAGTCCATCCACTGAACAATTCCCAACTGGTCTTACTGCTAAGAGCCTCTTCCTACTCTAGTTCATTTTCTATACAATTGCCAGATTATCTTCCTAAAAAACTGAACAAAGTCCCAGTCCTCATGGGGTTTACACTCTGGTGGGAGAGATTTAAAAAAAAAGAAGACAAAGTAAACATGTGCTAATGCAATATAAAGAAAATAAAACCATGCTGAGAGGAAAAGTGGGCTTCCCAGGTGGCGCAGTGGTAAAGAATCCTCTTGCCAATGTAGGAGATGTGGGATCAGTCCTTGGCTCAGGAATATCACCTGGAGGAGGGATTGGCAACCCACTCCACTATTCTTCCAGGGGAATCCCATGGACAGAGGAGCCTGCTGGGCTACAGTCCATGGGGTTGAAGAGAGTAGGACATGACTGAGCAGGCATGCAAGAGGAAAAGTAAAGGAGGTCCAATTTATTTCAGTTTAATTGATAATTGACACACAGCATTATAAGATGTGCAGCATAAGGTAGGAGTAGTGTGTAGAAAGCTGAGGGCCGAAAAATTGATGCTTTTGAACTGTGGTGTTGGATTTATGAGATTCCTCCGTGTTGTTTACCTCCCTCCCTTCGATTGTGGGTAGTATTCTATCAAATGAGTATACCAGTTCAGCCATTCTTCACTGATGGACATATAGATTGTAGGTTTTGATTATTATGAATAAAGATGCTATGAGTATTTTTGCACAAGTCTTTTTGTAGGTATATGCTTTTATTTTTCTTGGATAAATATCTGTAAGTGGGATTGCTGGGTTGTATGTTTGTTTAATTCATATGCAGCTAATGGGTCCACAATTTTGAAACAGAGAAATAAAAAGCTTAGAATACGCTCTCCTTTTGCTCAAAGTGTAGTCTGGAAGAGATGCAAAGGATTTGTTAAAAAGCCTCAGATAACCCTGTCACTCCTCACCTTTCTTCTGGGACCCTGAGAAATTCCTTTTAAGTCAGAGGGATGAAAGATGTGTGGATAATATCTGTAGGTGAATGCAGTTTGGGCAGTACTTTGGAAGAAACCTGTGTAAAACCCTTTGATGAATCTCTGCCTCTAGGTTTCTTGGAATTCCATCTCACTGTGATCAAGCTCAGAAAGGGAGATCTAAAATAAAAATGATTCCTGATAAGGAGGCCTCTATTAGCAAAAGTCTGATGGCAGATTAGGTGAAGGCTGGGTAAGGCTGGCCAGTGTGGTGGTAAAGTCAGGAATGCTCAAAGGTCTCTATGCAGATAAGCCTTGAATGTTGCAATATTGTTTTTTCAGTCAGTTCTCTGTTATCCTTAGTAGCTTTAAAACATACCTGCCATCTTCCACCTTTCAGCATATAAGCAGGCTCCACTGAAATCAGAGCCCTTTCAAAATGAACTCTTTCACTGCCTTGCCAGAAACGTCCACCTATCTGCATTCATCCTTGATCTATCCTTGCCTCCTTCCTTCCAATCACAGTGAAGACTGTATCCCTCCACAGGTAATCACCATTTATCTTCTCAAGGGCCTTGTTGTATTATCTTTTATTTCCTTACCTCTTCCTTTATACTGGCTCATTCCCACCAGCATGTCCAAGTCCTTGTGAAAGCCGCTCCCAATTTCTCCCTTGTGAAAACTAACTTTCTTTGAACACCAGGTACTACTCCTAGCTACAGCTTTATGTCTATGGTCTCATTACAGTCAAATCTTCAAAAGGGCTGTCTGCAAAGACTGTTTCCTTATTTTCTGAGGAAACCTGAGTCTCCAAAGTCCACCTAGAGCCCTTTATCTCTGAGCAAGCAGTGAACAATCATTTTTAAAAAGTCCTGTACGTGATGGATGGAGAGATGGGTGCAGAGACAAAGTCCTCCATAGCTGTGTGGCTTGGGATGCTGGATGACTAATTGGGTTGAGAAAGCGTTTATCTGTGTGTCTAAATAACCTGAAAAAGTGAAAAAGTTGGCTTAAAACTCAACATTCAGAAAACTAAGATCATGGCATCTGGTCCCATCACTTCATGGCAAGTAGATGGGGAAACAGTGGGAACAAAGACTTTATTTTGGGGGGCTCCAAAATCACTGCAGATAGTGACTGCAGCCATGAAATTAAAAGACGCTTACTCCTTGGAAGAAAAGCTATGACCAACCTAGATAGCATATTAAAAAGCAGAGACATCACTTTGCCAACCAAGTCCATCTAGTCAAAGCTACGGTTTTTCCAGTAGTCATGTATGGATGTGTGAGTTGGACCATAAAGAAAGCTGAACACTGAAGAATTGATGCTTTTGAACTGTGGTGTTGAAGACTCTTGAGAGTCCCTTGGACTGCAAGGAGATCCAGCCAGTCCATCCTAAAGGAGATGAGTCCTGGGTGTTCACTGGAAGGACTGATGTTGAAGCTGAAACTCCAATCCTTTGGTCACCTGAGTGAAGAACTGACTCACTGGAAAAGATTCTGATGCTGGGAAAGACTGAAGGATAAGGGGGCGACAGAGGATGAGATGGTTGGACGGCATCACCGACGCCATGGACATGAGTTTGAGTAAGTCCGGGAGTTGGTGATGGACAGGGAGGCCTGGCGCTGCAGTCCCCGGGGGCGCAGAGAGTCGGATACGATTGAGCAACTTAACTGAAATCACCTGATACGTACGTTCATCCTGAAATGCACTTAGGGAAAGGCGGTCCGTCACTACCAACAAGTGTCTGCAGACAAGCGCCGAAACACTGTAGAGCTTCTCCACCGGTGAGTCCCTCGCGGGAGAACCATTCTCGCCGGCCCGGGCCGCGCTCCCGCCGGCGCAGCGGAGAGCCCGCCAGGCACTTGGGTTGGCCTCTGGCGGGACCGGGTCTCCTCAGCGGCCAAGGCGTCCGGGTCGGGCGCTGAGAGGGCCGAGCGGTTCCCGGCCAATGACGGTCCTCGAACGTGCGCCTGGCGACGTCAGCGCGGATGTGCCCACGGACGTCACCCGGCGGGCTCAGAGGCGGCTCCTCCCGGACCCACGAAGAGGGCGTGGGCACCAGGAAACCGCGGGTGACTGGTGCTGGGGGCTGACAGCCCGCACCCGCGGGGCGGGCCCGGCCGAGCGGCCTTCAGGGAGCGAGCAGCCGCGCGCGCCGCCGAGCCCCGCCCCCTTCCCGAGCGGCCCCGCCCCTTTCCCGAGCGGGCCGCGCGCCCCCGAGACGCCCTCCCTGCGCGCCGCTGTGGCCCCGCCCTCTTCCCGAACGGGCCGCGCGCTCCCGCCCCGCCACCCCCCACCCCCCGCGCCTCCGCTGCGGCCCCGCCCCCTTCCCAAGCGGGTCGCGCGCTCCCGGCGCGCCGAGCTGTGCCGCGGGTGCGCGCGCCGCTGCCGGCAGAGCCGCCGTTAAAGTGGTCTGAGGCGCGCCCAGCGATTCCCCCGCCGCCGCACTGACCAACTGAGGCGGCGGGCCAGGCTGCGAGCGGCCGCCCGGTCAGCAGGCTCGCCCGCCTCCGTCGCGTCCCCAGAGCTCGCGCCCCGCCGTGGTTTCCCGGCGTCCCGGGGCAGAGCATGTAGCCCCCCAGCGCCGCGTGTGTGACCGTGTGTGTGTGCCCGCGTGTGCCCGCGGGTCCGAGGCCGACCCCCGCGCGGCCTGCCCCGGCCCGGCCCCTGCGTGGGGCCTCCCCTATGGGCCTCCTGCTCTCGAAGGAGCCGCGCCGCCGCCCGCGCCAGAAGCGGCCCCGCTGCGGCAGCTGGTGGCGCCGCCGCCGCCGGCCTCTCCTCAGGTGGCCCCGCGGGGCCCCGGCCAAGGCGGCGGCGGCGCCCCGGGGCCGGGACTGCCTCTTCCGCGGGCCCTGCATGCTCTGCCTCGTCGTGCACGGCCCCGGCGCGCCCGCCCCCGCCGGCCCGGAGGAGGAGCCGCCGCTGTCGTCGCCGCGGCCGCTCAGGGCCTACGGCGCGGCCGCCTCCTCACAGCCCCCGGCGCGGCGCCGCGCGGGCCTGGCCGCCGAGGACGCCGCGCGCCGCCTCCTGCTCTCGGCCGCCGCCGCCGCCGCTGCGCCGCCCGCCCCCGGCCGCGGGGAGCTGGGGCCGGCCGCGGCCGCCGCCCGGGAGCGGCCGGCCCGGAGCCTCCTGTGGGCCCGCGCGGGGCCCGTGCGCCCGCCCGCGCCGCCCGCCGCCTCGCGGCCCTTCCGGGCGCCGCCGGCCGAGCCCCCCGCGCCCCCCGAGATGGTGTGCAAGCGGAAGGGGGCCGGGGTCCCCGCCTGCACCCCCTGTAAGCAGCCCCGCTGCGGCGGGGGCGCTTGCGGCGGCGGCGGCGGCGGCGGCGGGCCTGCGGGCGGCGGCCCCGAGCAGCACCCCTCGCCGCCGCTCCGCGCCCCGCGCTCCCCCGCCGCCCCGGGAGGAGCCCCCGCGGAGGCCGGCGGGGACGCGGTCCGAGCGGGGGGCGCCGCCCCCTCGGCCGCCCGGCAGCCGCAGCACGAGTGCGGCGACGCCAACTGTCCGGAGGGCCCAGAGCCGCCGTGCGAGTGCCACCGGGAGCCGCCCCCCGATGCCCCGGACATCAACCAGCTGCCGCCCTCCATCCTGCTCAAGGTGGGTCTGCGCGCCCCCCGCCCGCCGGGCCCTCTCGGGGGTCCTCTCTCCTGCACGCCCCGCGGTGGTGGTGGTGGTGGGGCGCTCCCTGACAGCCCGTTATTTCAGGTGCAGGGGCTTGGAGTCCGCTGAAGGTCCTTCTAATCGCTTAGGTCTGCTGCGTGTAATCCCGGGTTCACCTAGGAGGGTCCCAAGCCCCCTGTTGTAGAAACTGTAGGTTTTCTGTGAAGTGTGTGTGTGTGTGTGTGTGTGTGTGTGTGTGTGTGTGTGTGTGTGTGTGTGTGTGTGTGTGTGTGTGTGTGTGTGTGTGTGTTAATCTCTTGAGCGGTTTGCGCTTAACTGGGTAGACTTTTGTATATTAGTGTTGGAAAGTATTCAGGCAATACTTTCAGATTTGATAACTGCTAGCTGATGTCAAAAAACAGTTAACCTTTTATCTATCGAACACTTGACCACGATGATAAGGCACAGTGCCAGAGTTTTATATACATAATATCTCACCAAATACTTCAGTTGACGCCGTGAAAGAAATATTGTTAACATCCTTACACAAGAAGAAACCGATGTATCAGCGCCTCGTGCCTACAGTCGTAAGTCAGGCCGACGTGGTGTGTGTGCGCATGGAGCTTCACGCGGGGCTTGAAGGGGTTGAATGACTTGCCCAAGGTCACACACAGACAGGTCTGCGGAGTTTAGGCTTGTCTGACTGGAAAACCCTTTTATTTATGCTGTTCTCTTGTCTTAGGTAAAGCAGACAGATTACCAGATGTAAGGACAAGTATAGTTTTTGTTGGGGGATACATGAGTGGGGAAGAGGTAGATGTCCCGTGGAAACCTTGTCTCACTTTCAGCACCAAGTAAAATTTGCAGTTTTGTCAATGCTAGTGATAAAAATTATGTGGTAGTTTGTAGTAAGTTAGTATTAAAAAGTTTTTTTTTCGTTCATCTTCTCTCTTCCCTCGCCCCTACACTGCAGCTTTCTGGAGCTTAATAAATACAAACTCCCTTTATCACTGTGGATGATATTTAAGACTAACTAGAAAAACCTAGATAAGAATTTGGCTACTTTTATTATTACTGAAGTAGCTGTCATCAATTATAATTTTTATTCTCAACAATATACTTTGATTGGACTTTTTGCATATTTGTAATCCTGTGTTTGGATTTGTTTTATTGTGATGCTAATATTTTTGTAAATAATATAGCAGAGAACTGGGAAAGGTTAACTTTGCCGCATGTCCAAGAGGATGAGATGGTTGGATGGCATCACTGACTCAATGGACGTGAGTTTGGGTAAACTCCGGGAGTTGATGACCAACAGGGAGGCCTGGTGTGCTGCGGTTCATGGGGTCACAGGAGTCAGACACGACTGAGCAACTGAACTGAAGTTGTTTACCTTTCAGAGGTGTATTTTTGAAGGAGTAATTACTGCCTCTGTATGTTCAGGGTGTGCATTTTAGGGCAGAGGGAATGTTCTTGAGTCTTTTAACTTAGTGGACAACATGGACAAATGAAATATCGACAAATATTTGGCATAGAGGTTTGATTGCTGTCTTGCTATTTGGTAAGTAAGACTGTTTAAAAACAAAGTAAAAAGCAGGTACCTCCCACTTTCTACCTAAACTATCATTATTTCATGAGGTAGAGCACATTTTAATACAAAAACAAAAAGAAAAAGATAAGAAAGGAGGAAGGACATGATTTCATAATAAAGAGAGTTCCAATATAATAAGTTTATTTTATTTACAACATTGTTCTTTTCCACATTTTTGCTAGGGACTGTTGAAAACTTGTTTTAAGGAACATTTGGGGAAATTATTCATTGGACTTCCCCTGTTGTGTTGCAGTATTTACATATGTTATGTAGATTTCCATTACTTGTATTAGAAACATGGATAGAGCTACTCTGTGTGGTTTTCATGGTCCCCGTGGTATTCAGCATAGCATGAGTTGGACTGTCTAGAATGAATTGAAATTTGAGTTTTTTAGTGTTTACCAACCCAGTTAACTTTTGGGGATCAAGCTTTGGAGGGCAGAGGCTCTTTCTACTTAAGGATTGCTCATTGCTCTGTCTCCTCCCCTAAGTGCAGTGACTGGCATTTAATAGCACTCAGTAAATACTGATGAAGGAGTGAATGACCAGGTGTTTAGGAAGTCTGGGGTGAGACTCTGAGTGAGTATATACCATGCCAATAAGGGAAGTCTCTAAGGAGTGTTTCTATCCTGAGTTGTTTTGAGCCACAGTAGAGCCATTGGATGGTGAAAAGTTTCTGCCTCTATTTTGGCTTGAAAAAGAGAAGACTTAGGGAGCTATGATAATTTCTTTTTTTTTTTTTCAACAGTACCAGAGGGTTGTGCTTATAGAGGCAGAAATCCATTACCCCCATTAGAAAGTATGCTCAACTCCCCTGATAATGGGCCATAGCTTCTAAAATTGTACTGCTGAATCCTTTGTACCAGAAGTTACTATAGTTACAGAGAATGGGAAGGTGGAGGGGAGAGAGTTTGGGAGAAAGATGTGACGAAATATGATTTAAAGATGTTTTTAGGGTAGTTGACTCAAACTACCATACTTGTTCAGTTTTTCCCAGGTATGGTAAAAGCAAAAGAGAAAAAACTTAATTCTTTGTACTCTACTTCAGTCAAATTTTTAACTCAATATCAATAGGTTTTTTTCAGTTTTGTTTTTATGTAAGTAGTGAGTATTACCTGCTTTAAGTTAACATAATGCAGAGAAAGCAAAAGTTTGCCTTGGTTCACCCCTACCCTCCGTCTAGTTTTCTCTCCAGAGGTCACTGACTACCATTACCAGTTTAGATTTTCTTCTAGACCTGTATTATGGGGTACAGTAGTTTCCAGTCACATATTGCTGTTTATATGAGAGTCCCTTGGACAGCAAGGAGATCCAACCATCCATTCTAAAGGAAATCAGCCCTGAATATTTATTGGAAGGACTGATGCTGAAGCTGAAACTCCAATACTTTGGCCACCTGATGTGAAGAACTGACTCATTGTAAAAGACCCTGATTCTGGAAAAGATTGAAGGCAGGAGGAAAAGGGGACGACAGAGGATGAGATGGTTGGATGGCATCATCAACTCAATGGACATGAGTTTGAGTAAACTCTGGGTGTTGGTGATGGACAGAGAGGCCTAGCGTGTTGCAGTCCATGGGGTCCCAAAGAGTTGGACACGACTGAGCGGCTGAACTGACTGAACTGATTACTATTTAAATTTAAAGTAGTTAAAATTAAGTAAAATTTAAAATTCAGCTTCTCAGTCACAATAACTGTATTTCAGAGATCAGTAGTCAGGTGTGGCTGGCAGCTACCATATTAGACTCTGTATATCCAGAATAGTTTCTTTATTGTAGAAAGCCCTATGTAAAACTTCATAGCCTTTTCCACAAATGGCATCAACATGTACATGTTCTTCAGTTTTTTTCATTAACTGTATGAATTGGAGGTCTTTTGTTGTTAGTATATGGTTTCCTTCATTCTTTTTAGTTGTTGTGTAATATCCCATAGTATTATGCCATACTGTATTTATTTCAATATGGTATGATTCAGTTCAGGTCAGTTGCTCAGTTGTGTCTGGCTCTGCGACCCCATGGACTGCAGCACACCAGGCCTCCCTGTCCATCACCAGTGCCCGGACTTTACTCACACTCATGTCCATGGAGCCGGTGATGCCATCCAGCCATCTCATCCTCTGTCTCCCCCTTCTCCTCCTGGGAGCTGTGTAAAAAGGAGTTCTTTCTTGAAATGGTGAGCTTCACTGGGAATTGTAATTATGTAACTTCAGGAAGAGACCTTTGAGGTCATTTGGTCACTCCCTACTCCTTATGCATGAAAAAAAGCAGGCCTGGAGAAGTGAAATGGCTTACCCCAGGGCATTTTAGAGAGTGAATGGCAGACTCTGGGCTAGAACTCCCCTCAGTGTTTCCAGGTCTTGAGGTCTTTTCAACATCGTTGTAAAAAGGCCTGATTAACCTTCTCTCAGATTTTATGAAAGAAATTCCTTAATTGGAGGGCAGGTGGAAACTTAACACCAGTCAACTTCTCACCATTATGAGTCAGAGGCTAATTTTATAATTGGGTCTTTGGGGTTGAATTGTTTTTAAATGCAAGAAATTTGAGAAGCAGGGGATGCCCCTTCAAAGTTCAACTGTGGGGATATCCTTTTCTTAGGTATTGAACACTTAATTAAGCCCATCACGTTTGATCTTGAATTGGTTAATGTGTTATTTTAGATCAGATAAGGTAGCCTCAGTCTTTGGTACCTGTTGCCTTTAAAACTTTAAGCAGTCTTGCCTACTGATATCACAATTAGGTTTTTATATAGTAGAATCACTATAACAATTTTATCAAATGACAGCAGTGGAATATTTTTAAGTAGTTGCTATTTGAGTAACTGGGTATTTTGAATCTATATTTAAATTTCAGAGGCTTTGTGTGCTATATATTTAGATACCTTGGTCTCTGTCAGCAGACTGTTTCTTTTCCAAGCCAACCGGGTGAGAGGTCCAAAATCCATCACCACCATTAGAAAACCACTTTACCATGAATGCATCTCTGATAGTGTGTCAGTAGTTATTAAATCTGTATTTTTATAGCTTTATTACCAACAGGTTGCTTTAGTGATCAAGGAAAAGTTTTATAAGAGAAAGGTGTTTTGGAGGAAAGCTTATGTATCTGATCTGTTTTTTTCAGATATGAAAAAAGCAATGAAAATGGGAGTCAAAGAAAATGAGTAATACAACTTTTTAAAGCTTTGAATGTAGATTAGTAGTGGGTAAGAGGAACTAAGTTAATGTAGCTTTTCGTGAATACTTTGACCTAAGGTTCTGATACCACATAAATTCTAGAAGGTACTCCAGAGACTATCTTAGCCAGTGCTGAAATGAAGTGTCCTTAGGAAGTCAGGTTCAAGATATCTTTTGGCTGGAGAATGCCTAGAAATCTTGGATAACTTAATTAAATCAGGCTAGCAAAAGGTGAGA